GGTCTACCATAGACAACACATTATGCTTCCAATATCTTTCCAGGCGGTAGTACCTCCCTGTTTGGTAGCTACCTAATACCCAATAGCTACACCTTCGCTGCCATTTTATTACCTTAATATTAAATATCCTAATACACGAGTAGCTATCCTAGCTGTGTTGAATTAGTTGAGCTGCAGATCTATGCAGCATTCAGTGACTAGCCTCATAGTCAATATCTGCAGCTGTTGTCGGCTTTGGAGCCGAAGCTCTTGTTCCCCTGAGGCAGAGCAAAGCCGACCAAAGGAGAGAGAAGGACAGTCGACATCTCATCCAGGCTGTAACATAACTTCTGGGCTGCTGCTTCTGTTAGGAGATCACCTCCGCGAGTCTGGCGTAGAAACATCTTGCACTTGGTCCCATACCACCAGAGGTTGTGAACACTAGAGAAGTGAAGCTGCCTTGATCAATGTTCTGAATTCTCTCCCTGAATGCCCGTATCTTGTCGTTCTCGTTCCTCCTGTGTGCAGCATCGAGAGCTAAGTTACGAAGATATGCGGCCATGGGATCAAATATCCTGATGTCGAAGAAGGCTCGCTGTCCCCCCGCGTCCAGAATCCTCGAGCACTGACGTCAACACGGGCTTCATTGGATGTGTTTGAAGCCCTATGTTGGAAAATCGCATCGTCTAATGGAAGGAGAATCGGTTTTACCCTGACATCACGGCAGATTTCCTTCAACATATTTGCTGTGAGATCCCTTACTTCGTCATGCCTCATGCATATGAAGCCCCCTTTCTTGCACACCATGGCATGATCGGCGTCATAGGAAGAATCACACACGCATTGGGAGGGCAAACCTTCCACTGGCCTACCGTACCTTAGAGCATTGGCATCTGTAAATTCTTGTTTATTGAGACTGAAACCATTTGCCCTTATCGATAACGTAGTTAACCAGTTCGAGGCGCCCACCTCATGCGCTATAGCTACTTTTTTTTCAAATTCTCTGGTACTTGCAACAACAGTTGCTGCAACTTATCCCTTTGGCTGTGCTGTCGTTCTGTCGTAATGGACCTTTTAATCTTGTTTACTTCGCTGGTATCCATCTCCCCTGTTGCGTTCTGAGCTGTTATGTGGTCCGTAAGGGCTGCCGTGAGCTTAACTGAGTTTTGATGTTCGGTGGCAGCAATCTCCTTGGGATTGGTCAATCCCATACCTCCCGTTCTCGGTGGGAGTGCAAGGAGTGATCTTTCTGCTGGAGTTAAGTGAGGGTGTTTCACTAATTTGGGAATTAAATTGACGCAGAGGGTGGAGGAGGGGACCAATATCAGGGATAGTGCACATCAGGTAATTCAGCGATGCTTGACTCCATGGGTGAATGCCGCAGAAGCTGCATGTGGCTCTGTGTTAGCAATCTCCGACAGAGCTTGGATTTCCCTAACCTAATACTACCAACTCCATCTAGTATAGATATACTCTGTAAATGCACTGAAAAAAAGAGAAAGTCTACCAGGTAATAATACATGACAGCTGAGCTGGTGTGAACATGGGAGTTTTTTATGTCCAAAAGAACATAAGAATGGAGGAACTGCAGCTGGCCTATTGGCCAATACTGGGCAGTCCCATTTACACCCAACCCCTATCGCTCATATATCCACCCAACCTATGTTTGGAGCTGCTCTTCACGGCACATTTCTTCATTTATGAAATGTCCATAACTTAGACCATAAAAAAACACCCTTAAGGCTGCATTTACACCAAGCCAGTCAAGTCAAGTCAATCAAGTCATTTGACTTGACTTGACTTGACTCATTGCCATTCACACCGACTGAGTCAACCTGAGTCAATCAGGACTCAGTACCCAGACTGATTTCGAGGAGGATGGACGCATAAACTCAACACCAAAAGACCCAATTTTGGAAGCCTCAGTCATTTATTCCCAGACTTGGTGAACCATCAAGACAAATTATACAATTTCTTTAGGATGACAGTTGAAAACTTCAAAAAGCTGGTGGATTTGACTGGGTCTTCCATAAGGAAAATGACTACTAACTACAGGGACGTCAATCTGCATGCTGTACACACCACTGCGGACTCGGCGTGACTGATGAAGAAAACCCAACCCCATCTGTGACTTGACGTGACACGATGCGACGTGACTTGACTTGACTTAACTCATCTGGTGGGAATGGTTTCTGAGAATATACATTGGAGTAAATGTGCATTAGAGTGGCGATTCACGATGAGTCATGACTTGACGTGACTTGACTTGACTTGACTGGCTTGGTGTAAATGCAGCCTAAAACTTACTTGAACGTAGCATTTGGGGTCTGAAGAGGCCATCCTTTCTACTCCGACTGCAGCGATGTGTTTTAAACTAGTGACATCATTGCAAATGGCAGCCCTGTTTCTAGAGAAATAAACTTATCTCGACTATTATAGCAGGACTTTAAACTTTTATTATAAATTATATGTACCGTATCACTCTACGAACGTGGCAGAGTGTATTTCTTGTGTTTACTCAGAACTTCAACTCGTCCATTGTGTAAATGAGGCAGAAAGTCAGATCAGCAACCTGGGACTTGATCACAATTTCTTGATGCCATATAGCAGCAGGGTCTACCATGAGACAACACTTTATGCTTCCAATATTAAATTATAGATTTTAATAATTATTGAATCGTGAAGGTGTTATGGGACATCTCTATAAAAAGGTGACCTAGAACATAATTTTATAGATATGCTGTAATAAACTGTCTTAATCATTCAATGTAATTTGTGTAACTATTGTCTTTAATTCGTCATTTTTAAATTCGATGTGCAATTCTTTTAATATGTATAATTTCTCTCCTTTTTCCAAACTGAACTATATAATTTGAAAGACTGCTTAAAGTACGACATACATAATTAAAACAAGGTAATTTAACTTATTTCATCAATATAACGAACGGAGCATGAAAAAATATTTTATGAACAAAAAATAATCATGGAGGATTCCTTTTGTTGACAACTACCGACTAGCAATTATTCTAATTTGTTGTTGCCATGTAGACAAGCACAGTTAAGAAAATAGAGAAATAACTGGATAATTCATTACGAATTTGGAAATAATAAAACAATGCCTTCCGAATGTAAAATTTGGCACTTTTAGGGAACACCACAACACAACACAACGGGAAAACTTGCAGAGTGAGATACTTGAACCCTCTTATGTCCCCAAGTGTCCAACATGACGAAACCCAATTTGAGATTAACAATAAGAGAAATGAAAACATACCCTGAGCATACGAAGAGTACAAACTGTAGGCTAGTATATTCAATTATAAATTCATAACTTCGATTTTTACCAAATATTAATCACAAGTGTATTGGGTGTAAATGTATCATAATAAGGTTATTTATATTGATGTTAATGTAATACAGTAGTAATATTTCAACGCTTGTTTAAATTATGGTTGCCAGCCTATAACTCACTTCCGTAACACTTTTGAGGGTGAGAGGCGCCTGATCACGTGATACATGCAACGCACAAGGCACTGTTGATGTAAAACTTTTATTGTTATTCATATTTTTACCATGTTATTCTGTGCAGATACCATTACGTGGTCCTCATGGCTACAGAACAGTATCAAGGATATTTTGCCTGTTAATCTCCTGCAGAATGTGGCCGTAAAATCGAATACATTAGGATGTTTATCTCAGTCAGCACACGTTCCGGAATCGCACAGTTTACTGATGAACCACAACGCGGCAGTCACTTGGCTGCCTATGTGGCAAGGATACACTTGTGGGATTTGATGTTTACTTATGTGGAACTATGTGGTGTATTTTGCGGCATATTTTTTTCTATATGGTGAATTTTGGCTTATAAAAAAAACACTAATATGTTCAAATTAAAATTGGCACTTTGAAACACAGCATAGAGAAATGCGTACGCTGCTTTACTAAATAGCACTGGTAAACTAGCCGTCTGATGGTTCGACCTTGTTCCCAATGCTTATTACCTAAAATATATCTCATACGCGAAATACCATTAACAGAGTGCGTGAGACAAGATTCTGTCCAACAACAATTATTTTAAATAATACATCACAACTAATTTCTTGGTAAAGCCGTAAGTGTCGCGTCACATCATTTAAATGACGGTGCTGTGTTCCTAGTGGTAACCCGTATATTTTAGGATTCTTAATTTAATTTTCTGTTCAATAGAAGAGCCTTTGCTTTTTAAGTCGCAGTTCTGTATTTAATATATCACTGCCCAACATATCCCTTCCTATCCTAATCTAACTTACCTAACACAGCCAAACTTTCCCAAATTAAACCTAAACCTGGTTAAGCAAATTTAACCGACACTACTTGATTTAAATCAACCCAAACAAAATCTAATCTAACCTATATATCCTATCCCAACTAAACCCTGTCTAAGCTAATGTACAGTAACCCAATTTTCTTTACCTAACTTATCTTAATTAAAACCAAAACTTGTGAACAAACATTATCGAACCTAATCTATCCAAATTCTTCCTGACGAATCCTAGTTCTGCCTAAGCGATCCTTACCCGGAAGAGGAAGTGGATATCCAAAACATATAATGTAGCGTTCGCTAACAACGAGGTCGGAGCCTATTATATACTGTGGGAAGGTTACAGGGCACTATGAGTGATTCTGTACTGTGTTGCACTGCAAACTGTTGTTCTCTAAAATATAAAATATCATTTTTTATGCCTCTGCCAAAAGGCCGGGCGCATAGGACCTTCAACCAACAGACACTGTGGTGCCAACTTTGTATATCAACTTTTACAGTTTCCCTCCAGGGATCACCTGTGTATCAGAGCGTAGATATTTACGCTGTGAGTAAAGGTGAAACTTAAAGGTATTTCTGAACTGACAGGTAGCTTGATTGAGTAGACGACTATGTATGCATACCAACTCTTTATTTGTCGGTAATGTGTTTTCTATATCGAAAATTAATTCGATCCTCAATTCATGTTGTCCAATTGTTTATAATATGTATTTTCTTTCAGAGGAAGGAGGACGTTAAGGCAGCTGACGATCCACCTTCGTACGCGGATGTACTCAAGGCAGAAGTACCTCCCCCAGCCTACTACACGGTGGTAACGGAAGATCTGTACTTCCCCACCGTCGCTCCTACCACCATGGGGGCTGGCTTCTATCTGCCAGAGACACCGCGTACCAAACATGGAGCTACTACTTGCAAGATGCCAAGAGGCACCCCGACCCTGCGTAGATGGTATATTGCGTCGACTCACAGCCCATCCAACGTCAGGTCCTCTACTAACCCCTCCGTTATCACGTCCTTTGGTAGCCCCGTGATCATCAGCTCGTCCAGTAGCCCTATCGTCATCAGGTCCCCCATTAGCCCCATTTTCATAAATTCATTTGACAGCCCCACTGTTATCAGGTCAATGGATAACCACGTATCTGTCGGGTCAATTAAGAGTACCCCTGTTCTTAGTTCACTTTCGGGCTCCGCCTTTAGCAGGTCCCCAAGTAGCCCTGCCCTTGGTAAGCTGGGGAGCAGCCCCACTCTGACCCAGCACTCTAGTAAGGCGTCCATATTCAAGTCACCTAGTAGCCCCACTTTGGGGAAGTCTCTTAGCAGGTCGTCTGATAGCCCCATCGTCAGCTGGCCATGTGGCAGCCCCGTCGTCAGTATGTCGTGTGGCAGCCCCATCGTCAGTATGTCGTGTGGCGGCCCCATCGTCAGTATGTCGTGTGGTAGCCCCATCGTCAGTAGGTCGTGTGGCAGCCCCATCGTTAGTGGGGCGTGTGGCAGCACCATCGTTAGTAGGTCGTGCGGCAGCCCCATCGTTAGTAGGTCGTGTGGCAGCCCCATCGTTAGTGGGGCGTGTGGCAGCCCCATCGTTAGTAGGTCGTGTGGCAGCCCCATTGTCAGTAGGTCATCTGGCAGCCTCAGCGCCAGCAAATCATCTGGCAACCTCAGCAGGTCGTCTGGCAGCCCCATCTTCAGCAAATCATCTGGCGGCCTCAGAGTCAGCAGGTCATCTGGCAACCTCATTGTCAACAGGTCGTCTGGCAGCCTCAACGTCAGCAGGTCATCTGGCAGTCTCAACATCAGCAGTTCGTCAGGCAGCATCAACAGGTCATCCGACAGCCCCCGTGCCATCGCATCGTCAGGCAACTCCGTCTTCAGTTACGAGAGTAGAGCACACCGTCACGGAGGTCTTCAGGCAGTGTCAGGTGCGGAGGTGGAGAGACAGAGTAACCAAAGGCCGCAGCATCTTGGTGTCATCCTTAACGTGGCGGGTCTACAAACTGCACCAAAACCCCTGGGCAACCACAACGCGTCACCAACAGGTAGAACCAGGAACATAATGGATTCACAAATATATTGGTACAATATGTACTGTTAGACGATTTGGTTAGCAAGAGGTGCAGTTAGTTTTTGGGATTAAGAATAAAAAAAAACACTGTCAATTGTATAGATCATGGACATAAAGCAATAGCTTTATAAATGGCTCACAGTATACTGATGTTTCTCGTGTGCATGTAAGACTCGTCAGTATCACTAAGAAACGCTTTTTTCCTTCATTAGATGCTTGTCATAACATAAGTAGCATTGAACTCTTTTATGATAGATGCTATCACTTACAGTACAGCATTACAGACATCCTTCTGTAAATTAAGCAGAAACCTAATTGCTTACCTATTGCTTACTATACTTACACTAAAGGAACAAGTATACAGTAATGGTAATTCTATCGATAACCGTGCTAGGCAGATGAATCACAAATTTAGACAAAGTGACGATTTTCAAATGGTAAATTTGTAAAATACTTTCTTAGAAATATTTGTGTACATTGTTTGGGGGGTGTTTTGTTTTGCCTTCCCAGGAGTTACAATACAATGACCAAAACACATTACATGGATCTGTAATAAATAACTTTTTTTTCTCTAAAACAACTGAGATAACTGGTGCGCGAAACCTTGAACTTCGGACAACATGATGCATCTTGATTACTGCACTGTACTTTCAGGGTTCAACTGTCACCAGACGCCGCTCGAGTCGTGTTGCTCATGGAGTCGCGATAAGCACTTTGTTTACTATGCAAATTTAAATCTTCACATTATTCAGCTACAACTGTGTCTCACCTCTACATGGAAGTATAGTGTTTGACACATTTATTGAAAATTTTTGAAACGCCTCTACGTCTTTGGGTTGGGTTGAAATAATTATATATTAGTTGTAAACACAAGTACGAGTTATTTGTTGCAATGTATTTAAAGCAAATATACATTTAAAATATTCTTGAAGTATCATTGAACATAAATAGTTATGTGTTAGCTGTTATTAAACTATTAAAAATTGTTTATCCATGATCATCATCATAAATTAAAACACTTTGATTTGGACCGCACAGTAACCTACGTACTTTAGTACAGTAATAATACTTGTACTTACTTCTTTACTGTCCACTGTTCCACAATTAGGCAACACAGTATTTTTGTCAACCAAGCAGAGAGTGGCAACTCAGTAGCGACTCTTGCATACATTTTTACGACCTGGTATATTTTAAAGGATAGTTTGTCTACACATCATGCAAATGACGATAAACCACTAGATAAATATAATAGAAGACGCATTAACAATAATTATGTTGTGTGAGGGGCAGTCAGCAGGCGTTGTGGTTGAAGTTCTGGTAAAAGCCGGAACAGGTGGGACAGTTGCCGTTGCTGTAATAGTTGGCAAAGCTGTCGTCGGTCGTCTTGTGCCAGATGACGAGCGGCCCGTTACTCACCGTCGTTAACGGCGACTGAAAGGAGAAAGAAAATTATATTTCATCACATTGGATATAAAAGTATACGTTAGTCTATTTACCTCGTACATCTACAAGAACACAGGACGTTTATTTAATGGTATTTTTGGAATAATTAAAACAAACTAAGAATATAGGACAATTGATTATATATATATATATATATATATATCATTAGCCCAATAAACACATGGACTCCTGGCGGTTGAGGTGTTGATTTTATATATATATATATATATATATATATATATATATATATATATATATATATATATATATATATATATATATATATATATATATATAATTTCTTTACTTACTTGAATGGTTGCCAATGAGGCGAAGAGTGCGAGAGCTGTATCAAGCTGGCAGTAGAGGGCCTGGACACCTAGCGGGTTGGCGATGGGGTTGCCCCTCTCGCCCACGGGCAGACGGTACAGGTCGCCGGGACACCTCACGAAGGACGGCCCCCCCAATGTCAGCGTCGTGGTGCATTTGTTCTGCCGGCCATGTATGCACGCATAGAGGTAGTACACGTGTATACTGGAGATTCTTTTGTGTAATATTGACATTAAACAGTAAATCATAGGCGTTGTTAAAAAGTAGGTGACAGTAGTGACACAAACTCATCTCACCAATTCATTATTATTAAGACGGTTAACTTACTTCTTTGGCAGAGACACACTGCGTTGCCCAGACATAATTGATCACAAATTCCGTGTGTGTGATTGGCATGGCATGTTAATGTGCTGTGTGGTAGGAAGTGCATGTGAGGAGTCATTAAGCCCCTACTCAAGTCTTTGGTGTTGTTGACTAAAGAAACTAAACTTTTCAGAAGAATAATCGCGTGAAAGAGCTTCCAGACAAAAACCTATTAATTACTGTCTACACAAGAACTCGATTTTTCTCATAGGCTGGTCTTGGACTATACCTTTTTCATCACCAGGCCTCCGTCATGTGATGTTCCTCCCCCACAGGTATCTGTTCCTTTAACCTCTCTTTTGAGTGTAATACAGGTAAATTTTACCTCTACCGTCCTGCAGATAGAGGAGCTTACCATTTCTATCTTGAACCTATAACGTGTCTCGTACTCTCCTTCCTAAAACTACAGTCAATGTCAAGTTCTCTTCCCCAAAACTATATTGAATTCTACCGTTTGAAGCTACAGTGTTGCTTTCTTTTCCGATTTGTTCTGTCACTTATTACCTTTATTGTCCAATGTTGGTTCAGGAGGAAACCAAAACCTGAGATGTTTGGTAGTTTCACATTGGATGAAACCCTTCTCACATATGACCCAGGCTGGGAACCGAACTCCTGGCACAGTATTGAGAGGCTGCCTGTACCACTGGCACTCATTTAGTTTCACCCTCTGTAAGATAAGTTCTCCCTCCCCGATTCCCCTGGTTCCACGTTCTCCTTCACCCTCTTAGATCCACTTTCTTCCTCACCTTCTCCTTCCTGAAGCAGATGCCGTAGTCGACACCGTAGAGATAGAACCCACCATAGTTGAAGCTCTGGATGACGCCTGAGTTACCAGTGAAGTACTGACCACACCCGCCTGGTACTGTAACAAGAACCTCTTTAAGGTGGTGTGTCTAGTCGCGTTCCTTGAGTTAATCTGCTAACTGATATGTTCTAAAGGTGAAACATAATCTTCTTGTGTGATCACCAAACAATCCAATCCAAGTTCCCTTTCGTTCATTGAGGAAGTTACCTCATTTCTGATCAGTTTGAAATGCCAATCAAATCTCGTTTAAACACGTTCCTTTGTGATGGGTTTCAGATGCTGGACGTGACCAGTAGGCAATTCTCCAGCAATTCTTAAGGATTATCCAAGTGGTAATATATTGAATTCCAACTTATATTAATCTTTCTAGTAAAAAATGTTTACCTTACGGATTATGAAAACTTTGTGCCCTTTAACACTATCGTACATGAGAATATTCGACATAATACTAATTAACCAAAGTGTTCTTGTTTATATTGCATGTAAATATGAACCTAATAGTTGGTAATATTCCCAAATAACCTTAACATTACGCTGGTGGCTCTTTTTATAACGTAATCTTGTAAGTGGTTATATTGAGTGGACAATTTTTATTTTGGAGCAATGGAAAACAAGACTAATAACATACAAAACCTTAACTCACTGACCTCTCTGAGCACACTCGATCATGGAGACTTTTATCTTGAACCTTCTGTTGTAGCTGACGGCGGAGGTGACGAAGTTGAACACGGTGGGGTTTACCTGACCCTTTACATCCAGGTAGACTGTTCATGGTGAGAGATTTACTTATATGTGGCCAAGAACTACAGGGTTAGGAAGTTTGGTTGAGCATTTACATACATCAACTTAATTGACTAATAAGTTATTATGAACTCGAATATAAATCACTAACTACTACCCCTCACAGATACACAACTTATTACTTTTCTTAGTGCCACTTCTCGTTACAGTCCCATGTGACACTTGGTTAGTGCCTAGATTCTCAAGGGTTTCTGTTATTTTTCCCCAACTTGAGAAGTGGGGACGAATCTAACTGAAGAACTGAAGTTACTACATTAAGAGAGCGACCAGAAATGGCACCAAAATTTTTACTTGAGGCAAAATTTTACTGTGCAAGTGTTTGGGAATTTGGTTCCAGTGATGTTTACAACCCATATTATAGAGAAAATCCTACCTACTCAGTGTAATTTCTCTTACTCTACCATATCAGTTAGCTGTCAAACCTTGTGTACTCTCCCTTATAACTATTTTTTTTAACATGTTACGTTATCCCGTCTGCGTCTTTTTACCCAGAGTATGTGCTAACAGTGAGTAGAGCGTCACCTACAGTGCCAGTTTGATGGAGCAGTGCCACACAGGTACACAAACTTCCTCTCACCCGTCACTGTAAACTGGTCCTCGTTGCATTTCCCTGGAGGATGGAAAAGAAGCCTGTGTATAATGTATGCAGTAGACGCAGTATAATGAGCAAAGAAGACAGTTGGTCATTATTTACAGCAGACAGTAATATGATTCTAATTTTTCAGACCTGGAGGAATATGGCATCCTATATGTAACTCTTATAACACACAGTAAACTGGTTTTCATATAAGAATGCGTCGGATAACCAGATACCGGATATCCTACCACACCTTGGGCTCGATATTGTATATAAGATACTGTACTGTACTCTACACCTGTTGAACTTCACATTTACCTGTTGAACGCATATGCACCTGTTTAACTTCACATTTACCTGTTGAACTCATATGCACCTGTTTAACTTCACATTTACCTGTTGAACTCATATGCACCTGCTGAACTTCACATTTCCCTGTTGAACTCATATCCACCTGTTTAACTTCAGATCCGCACAACTCCAACTCACCGAACTGGTCAGGCGGGAAGCTCTCAAAGCCCTCGAAGTCGAGTCGGAGTTGGCAGGTGTCGACCATACGGGTGATGCTCATGGTGCACGTGCTGGCGTCGCTGTACGTGCTGGGATAGTTGGGGCTCACCAGGTACGTGTAGTTGGTTGATGACATCCCTCCGCACGTGATCTCCTCTGTTGGCACGTGCGTCAAGGGCCAGGTGAGGTACTTGTAGGTGAGGGTCCTGCTGGTTATTGGTATTTAAAGGAGTCTTCTCTACTTGAGGTCCAGAAGGGTTAACATACAGACATACTCCCCTCACTGTCCCCAGCAGACACTACACACTAGCATACTCATTACAGGGGTCCCTTATATACAGGTTATTCAGTAGGTAACCCCCCCCCCCACACACACACTAGCATACTCCACATTCTGTAATAGACTTCCTATAAAAAACAACGTAACAAGACTAGAATATAATGATAGTAATTCACTAGACTCACCAGAGACCACATAACATACTTTCGAGATATACTCACTGTAGCAGCATACCCCGAAGCCCTTAGCACAAGGACCCAGCTCGGTGCCGCCCAGCCTACTGCACTCGCCCTCGCTGTAACAGGTGCCGCTTCTGTCCCCAAGAGTACACGGCCCGTTGACGAACCTCACCACCGTGAAGATAGGAACTAGAGGGGAGGGGGAGAGACGAGTAACTGTGATAGATAGTGAAGGTCTTGCTGGGAGGAAGTAGATATGACGGGTGTTTATATTAACGTATATATAGTATGATAGATTGGATCACCTAAATATTAATTCCCCCCCTCCAAGCTCAATTTACCTTAATATTAACCACCCTAAAGCAGACCTAACCCAAATTAACCTAACCTAACCCCTCCAGGTAGTGTTAAGGTGTTTAATTAGGAGATGAAATTAGCAGGGAGAGCTAACCTTCAGGCGATCTAATAGGTTTTGCATATGTGTTAAGATAGATGTGGTAGAGTTTCTACTTCTGGATCTTAAGATACTTTTGTGTTAAACTAGATAAGGCAGACTTTCCTGCACTCTGAAACTTTGTGATCCCTCATACTGACTTATTGGACCGAGGGATTGAGCAGAAGGTCCAAGGTACACAATGCAGTGACGAGTTAGAGAGGTTAGGGGCAGCCATAACTAGTTATAGACCACCGTGTTTACATCCGACTCTCCGACTCTTTCTCAACATAGTTATGGCTAAGGAGACCACTTTGATGCCTTTAGGGTGGGGAAGCGAGAAATGAGATTTTTTTCCCAACGTTCCCCATCTACGGGATTAATGAGTGTGTGTGTGTGTGTGTGTGTGTGTGTGTGTGCAGCTGTTTGTATGTTCGTCTGTATGGTTGTTTGAGTACCTGTTTTGTATGGTTTGGTACCCGTGTGTATGGTTAATTTCTTCTGGTGTGATTGTCTGAGTGCCTGCTTTGTATGGTCGAGGAACCGTGTATGCAGATGCAGTCACTCATAAAAGTTCGTGGGGGTCTCCGTGTGTGTGGGTGAATCATATTTCCACCCCTTTCTGGACGACAGGTCTCTCGGCACGAGACAACGCACACACGAACATACACGGTGAAACTGTTGGAACTTTTTTTTTTTTTTTTTTTTTTTTGCGGGAATTAGTCTACCCGGGCACAGGTCAAACGACCCACAACAGGGCCTGGGGGGGAGGGGGCGAAAAAATAAGAACAGAAATAAATTGAATATAGAGAAGAAAACAGTTATACTGTGTTAATCTACACCACGAAGATGCCGGAAAACCATCTTTTTAAAGTGAGACAGATTGTATAAGTATGGAAACACAGAAGAAGGCAGAGCGTCCATGCAAATATTGTGTTATGTCATATAATGTTTACACATTAGCATTTGTGAGACAGCATATAAGGGTTAAAATTGTCATGGACCATATGACCACAGACCTCTGTTGCCTGAACCATGAAACGCTTCAATATGTGAAGACGAAGCAATACTAGAGGGTGAGTGGAGGAGGAGGGGGGTAAAGAGGAGGTGTTGCCAGAGACGAGAGGGGTCAAGTGTTTACTGTAGCTGCCGCTCTGCTATTTTAATTGAGGTAAAATCCTTTTATTAATAAAGATGGTAATGATATGTTAGATCAGTTAAACATACGAAACTTTCACAGTTCCGTTCTTTTAATTCAACCGATTACTCTCTATAAATGGCTTGGTGTGTTTGATCTATAGTAGACTGTTGCCTTAGACTCGGGACTGTTCCATTACGACGTTGGCCAACCGCTTCACTGCTCATTGTTTCGAGTCTTCGTCTACTTCGAATGTTTTATTACCTATTATTCAGAATGGGTTTGTGTTGGATATATAGAGGAATATATGAAGAAGACATATTATACTACGTTAATGGTAGATACTGTCTGAGTTGAACTCTTAACGGTTTACAATATTATTCATGTGGATACGAAGCAAATTTTCGAACGGATTGGCATGTACCTCGACCTGCACTACCGTCGTCTCTGCTGCTTAATTAATGCTTAGAAATCGAAGGGGCTCTAACCTTCGTATCTTATCATACAACACTGAATGTGTAACTTGATTATGACTAACGATAATATCTGATTGACAAACATAATCCTGTCAGACCTGATTACATAAAAGACAGTTCTACCGTGTGTGACCGTATGTGCGTTGTCACATGGCTATACACAGACTCACCGTCCAGAAAAAGGTGGGGACTGGACTGGCACACACACACACAGGACCCCTACGAACTTTTATGGGTGACTGATACAGTACGTATTTGTTTACACATAATACACCTGGAATTAATATAGTCATGGGGACAAAAGCGCCTGCCACTACCACGGTATTGTGGGTGTATTAGCGTCAAGCGCTCGACCATACAAAAATAAGCAATCAACCATACAAAACAAGCAATCAACCATGCAAAACAAGCAATCAATCATGCAAAAGACCAATCAACCATAAAAAACAAACATTCAACCATACAAAACAGGCACCCAAACAGCCGTACAGACTGACATACAAACAGCTACACACACACACACACCCACAGCCAGAGAGAGAGAGAGAGAGCATTCTATTCACATATACTCACGGATCTTGTCATCTCGATGGAGGTTCTCGCTGTTGACTGTCCCGTTGTTGTCCAGATTGTGGTGATGTGTCAGTGATGTGTTGTGGTGGTGATGTGTCAGTGATGTGTTGTGGTGGTGATGTGTCAGTGATGTGTTGTGGTGATGATGTGTCAGTGATGTGTTGTGGTGGTGATGTGTCAGTGATGTGTTGTGGTGGTGATGTGTCAGTGATGTGTTGTGGTGGTAATGTGTCAGTGGTGTGTTGTGGTGATGATGTGTCAGTGATGTGTTGTGGTGGTGATGTGTCAGTGATGTGTTGTGGTGGTAATGTGTCAGTGGTGTGTTGTGATGGTGATGTGTCAGTGATGTGTTGTGGTGGTGATGAGTCAGTGATGCGTTGTGGTGATGGTGAGTCAGTGATGCATTGTGGTGGTGATGTGTCAGTGATGTGTTGTGGTGGTAATGTGTCAGTGGTGTGTTGTGGTGATGATGTGTCAGTGATGTGTTATGGTGGTGGTGAGTCAGTGATGCGTTGTGGTGGTGGTGGTGAGTCAGTGATGCGTTGTGGTGATGATGTGTCAGTGATGTGTTGTTGTGGTGGTGGTGAGTCAGTGGTGTGTTGTGGTGACTGAGGTAATGAATCCTTCCCTCGTATGCAACACCTGCTGCTGACCGGGTTAGAGAATACTAATTAAAGGTTTTGTCTTGGTACCTGACAAGAAAATATCAACTAAGATTGCATGTTACGATTAAGTTGAAAGAGGTGTACTTTTTATTTTATATTGTTATCTATATTAGTAGTACTAGTAGATGTAGTAGTGGTGGTAGTAGTATGGGTTAAAGAAACTTACTCAGAAATTGTCAGGTGGTCGCCTGCTAACCTATTTGAACCACCCAAGTGTGCGGCCACCAAAGAAATGATTCGGGAGATGACTCGCCTCATAATCGAGTACACTCAGGACTGCTTCCTTGCCCCTTTAGCTCTTCAAATACTGGCAATAATACCACATCTATTCTGTCAGAGGACACACACAAGGACGAAGCACAAAGAAAATGTGGCAGCAATGAAGAGAAGATTGACAATGTGGCAGAATGGGGCCCTTGATGATCTCCTATGTAAAGCAAGAACACTGCAGGAGACACTAAAATTTATAGGAGACGGAAAGCAAAACACCAATGAAGTTGCAAGAAAGTTTGGAAACAAAATGCGTGTGGGAAAAGTGTCCTTGGCGGTAAGATCTCTCACAGAGGAATCCTCCGGTGGTGTTCTGCCAATAAACAGAGAGACATTAAAACAACTGAAGGAAAAAAATCCTCCTGCAAGTGAAGAGCACGGTATCAGGTTCCAGGGTGACTATATCCCACCAAATGCTGTCCTGATCGAGAAAATAACAGGAGGGATGGTGTGGAATAAAGCACTGAAAACTCAGGGAGGGGCTGGCCCTTCAGGCCTGGATACAAACGGTTGGGGAGTCATCCTCAGCACTAGCAAGTTTGGCCGACACCTCCATGCTCTGACGGCCTGCCGCCTCATTCCCCTGGATAAGAATCCAGGATGTAGGCCTATAGGGGTGGGGGAAGTGCTGAGGCGGATCAAAGGAAAATGCATAATGGAGGTGGTAAAGGATGATGTCATGGCAGCGGCAGGGAGCCTGCAAGTTTGTGCTGGCCACCAGGCTGGAGGGGAAGCTGCCATTCACGCCATGAGAACGCTATTTGAGCAGCGTTATTGTGAGGCTGGTCTCCTGGCTGACGCTTCCAATGCATTCAACATACTTAACCGCAAGAACGCACTGCACAACATCAAGATCAAGTGTCCAAGCTTTGCAGTGTATCTTGAAAACACCTATAGAAATCCATCAGACCTCTATATAGTAAACACCAAGGCTCTAAGAGGTGATACCATCATACAGTCAACTAAGGGAACAACGCAAGAGGACCCTGTTGCAATGGCAATGTATGCAATAGGCCTATCTGTGCTCCAACACACAATAAAATTTGAAACAACCGAGGTCAAGCAAGTGGCGTATGCTGACGACCTTACAGGAGCAGGAAAAGTGGAGGACATCAAAAAGTGGTGGGACTTGATGACATCATATGGTCCACAAATAGGGTACCACCTAAATGCCAGCAAGTCCTTCCTCATTGTGAAGCCAGAACATTATGAACGGGCAATGGAGGTGTTCAGTGGCGGTGAGGTAAAAATAACTAAGGATGGCCAAAGACACCTAGGCGCAATAATCGGCACGACAGACTTCAAGACCGAGTACGTAACGGGAAAAGTGAATGAGTGGGTTAGGGAGATCCAAGCTCTGATATTGCTAACACAGAACCACAGGCGGCTTTTGCTGCATTCACCCATGGAGTCAAGCATCGCTGGAACTACCTGATACGCACTATAATTGATATCTGACCCCTTCTCCACCCTCTGGAAGAAGCTATCAGCGTCAATTTCATTCCCGAAATAGTGAAACACCTTCATTTAACCCCAGCAGAAAGATCACTCCTTGCACTACCACCGAGACTGAGAGGAATGGGATTGACCAATCCAGAGGAGATTGCTGCCACCGAACATCAAAACTCAGTTAAACTCACGGCAGGCCTCACTGACCACATAATAGCTCAGAATGCAACAGGTGAGGTGGATATCAGCGAAGTAAACAAGATTCGAAGGTCCATTACGACAGAACGACAGCACGGCCAAAGTGATACGTTGCAGCAACTGATGCTGCAAGTACCAGAGAATTTGAAAAAAAAAGCAGCTCTAGCGCAGGAGGTAGGTGCCTCGAATTGGTTAACTACGTTACCGTTAAGGGCAAATGGTTTCAGTCTTAATAAACAAGAATTTATAGATGCCATTGCTCTAAGTTACAGTAGGCCAGTAGAAAGTTTGACCTCCCAATGCATGTGTGGCTCTTCCTATGACGTCGATCACGCCATGGTGTGCAAGAAAGGGAGCTTCATATGCATGAGGCATGACGAAGCAGGGGATCTCACAGCAAATATATTGAAGGAAATCTGTCGTGATGTCAGTGTAGAACCGACCCTCCTTCCATTGGACGGTGAGAATTTCCGACATAGGCATTCAAACACATCCAACGAAACCCGTGTTGACGTCAGTGCTCGAGGATTCTGGACGCGGGGACAGCGAGTCTTCTTCGACATCGGCATTTTTTATCCCATGACCGCATGTCACCGTAAATTAACTCGTGATGCTGCACACAGAAGGACGAGAACGACAAGATAAGGGCATACGGGGAGAGAATTCAGAACGTTGATCAAGGTAGCTTCACTCCTCTGGTGTTCACAACCTCTGGTGGGATGGGACCAAGTGCAAGATGCTTTTACGCCAGACTCGTGGAGGTGCTATCCGAACAGAAGCAGCAGCCCAGAAGTTATATTACCGCCTGGATGAGATGTCAACTGTCCTTCTCTCTCCTTAAGTCTGCTTTGCTCTGCCTCAGGGGAACGAGAGCATCGGCCCCAAGGCCGACAACAGTTGCAGATATTGACTGTGAGGCAACAGTCACTGAATGCGTCATAGATCTGTTGCTCAACTAATTCAACACAGCTAGGATAGCTGTATTAAGGTAATAAAATGGCTGCGAAGGTGTGGCTATTGGGGGACGATGGAGGCCACGTTTAAAAAAAAAGTATTTGCAGAAATAGTAGTAGGGCGTATAAAGAGATAATTCAGAACGTGGATCAAGGCAGCTTCACTCCTCTGGTGTTCACAATATCTGGCAGGGGTGGGACCAAGTGCAAGATGCTTCTATGCCAGATTGGCAAAGGTGTTATCTGAAAAGAAGCATCAGCCCAGAAGATATGTTGCAGCCTGCGGAGATGTCTCCTGTCCTTCTCTCTATTCAGGTCTGCATTGCCTTGACTCAGGTGACCGAGATTATTCGTCCCTAAGCCAAGAACAGTCGCAGGCATATATCTGCCCCATATATCTGCAACTTAACTAACTCAGCTGGAGTAGCTACTTTTGTATTAGGATAGTTAGGTAATAAAATGGTGGTGAAAGTATGTCTAAAGGGGGAGATTCGAGGCCACATTGTAAAAAAAAAGTATTAGTAGTACTAATATTAGCATTAATAGGAATGGTAATAGTAGTGATAATAGTAATGGCGAAGGTGTGGCTATTGAGGGAGGCTAGAGGCCACATAGAAAAGTAGTAGTAGTAGTAGTGGTGGTGGTAATAGTAATGGTGGTGGTAGTAGTAGTAGTAGTGATAATAGTAATGTACTGTAGTAGTAGTAATATGAGGATATTTAATTTTAAGGTAATAAAATGGTGGTGAAGGTATGGCTATAGGGGGAGGATGGATACCATTAAAAAAAAAGTACTATGAGGCAACATTCACTGAATGCTGCATAGATCTGCGGCTCAACTAACTCAACACAGCTAGGGTAGCTACTTTTGTATTAGGATATTTAATTTTAAGGTAATAAAATGGCGGCGCAGGTGTGGAAATTAGGGGAGGCTGGAGGCCACGCTTTAAAAAAAAGTAGTTGTAGTTGTTGTCGTGTGTGGCTCATCTTATGACATCGACCACACCATAGTGTGCAAGAAAGGGGGCATCATATGCGTGAGGCATGACGAAGTAAGGGATCTCACAGCAATTATGTTGAAGGAAATCTGCCATGATGTCAGGGTAGAACCGACCCTCCTTCCATTGGACGGTGAAAACTTCCATCACAGGACTTCAAACACATCCAACGAAGCCCGTGTGGACGTCAGTGCTCGAGGATTCTGGACGCGGAGACAGCGAGCCTTCTTTGACATAAGGATTTTCTATCCCACTGCCGCATGTCACTGTAACCAAGCTCTCGATGCTGCTGCACACAGGAGGAACGAGAGTGTCAAGATCAGGGCATATGGGGAGAGAATTCTTTTGTATTAGGATATTTAGTTTTAAGGTAATAAAATGGAGGTGGAGGAGGCTGGAGGCCACGTTAGAAAAAATAGTAATAGTAGTATCAACAGTAGTAGTGGTAGTAGTGCATCTCAACAGTTCACATAACCCCCAAAAAAAAGAAAAAAAAAGAGACGTGTAGGTTTTCAGTGATACAGAAGTGAAGATTTGTAATATTAAGGAAATACTACTACTACTACTACTATTACTACTACTACTACTACTACTACTACTACTTCTACTACTTCTATTTTTTGTATTTAAATGGCCTCCAGCCTTCCCCAATAGCCATACCTTCGCCACCATTTTATTACCTTAATATTAAATAACCTAATACATAAGTAGCTATCCTAGCTGTGTTGAGTTAGTTGAGCCGCAGATCTATGCGGCATTCAGTGACTGTTACCTCATAGTCAATAACTGCAACTGTTGTCGGCTTTGGGGCCGATGCTCTCGTTCCCCTGAGTCAGAGCAAAGCAGACCTAAGGAGAGAGAAGGACAGTCGACATCTCATCCAGGCTGTAACATAACTTCTGGGCTGCTGCTTCTGTTCGGATATCACCTCTGCAAGTCTGGCGTAGAAGCATCTTGCACTTGGCCCCATCCCTCCAGAGGTTGTGAACACTAAAGGATTGAAGCTGCCTTGATCAACGTTCTGAATTCTCTCCCCGTATGCCCTTATCTTGTCGTTCTCATTCCTCCTGTATGCAGCATCGAGAGCTAAGTTACGGTGACATGCGGCCATGG